TGATTCCAGGACTATCTTTCCCTAAAAGTGCACCCTGGCCATAGCCCCGTAGACAAAAAGGCATCTGCTTAGGGACTGTGAGCTTCGGTCAGTGGTCAGAGTTGAAGAGAGCCTGCCTGTTTAGTCCCTCTCATTTTGAGAAACAGCAAAATGCAGCCAGGCATCCCAGATCCATTTCTGTATGGTTTTCTATTCCCAAGCTATGTAGTCTCCCCTTCTGTTACTTAGACCCTTCGTTTCTTTCAGACCCAAGATAGAACATGCACACTGTTTCTGTTGATCTTGAATCTAAATTCACCATAGGAATGTAAGTTCCATGCAGGCACAGACTTTGCTGGCTCACTACCAAAGTAAAATCAGTACCTATAAGAGTGGTCAGCATGTAATAGGCATTTAGTAAACACATGGAACAATGAGCTGGAAACCCATGACAGAATCAAGTCCTGATGCCCGTCTTTCACTGTGTGAGTTAATTCCTCCCCTCTGCGTGAAGAAATGGCACAAGTTGTGCACCTTCCTTGAAAGCACAGACAACTTAACCACTGGAGATAATTTCTGTGTGCTGTGGCTCAGATGAGGAAACTTTGTTGAGAAAGGCTGAGTTCATGAACAAATGAATGGGTGGAAAATGCCATTCCTCTAAGTAGCTTCCCCATCCACAGTGATGGTGTGACTCTTTTCTCCATGCATCTGTTTTAAAAATGCCCTGGCTTGGAAAAGGTTAAAAACGAAAGGCTCCTCCTTAGAGGGATGCTCAGCCATCCTCGGAAGATGACTTGCAGGACTCCACAGTTAATGGCTCGGTAAGCAGAGCCAGCCTTTTAAAGGTTTCACAAAAGGGCATATACACAATTGAGACTGCAGTCTAAGTACTGTCTGGTACTGATAAGGCTGGCTGGGAATGCCCTGTCCTTTCCCTTCCCCAAATCAAAAGCTCTTTGAGAGGCAGCCAAGCATTTGAAACCAACCAAGCAGTACTAAGTGCATTATCTTGTCTAAGCAAAACATGAGAAGCAAATTAAGATCTTTTCTGACCTCACTAACTTAACATTAAAAAAAAAAAAAACCTATGGTTTTACCTAATGTATGGTCACTGCTCTAAAAAGAATCCTCTCCCATTCCTAGAATTATGTTTGACCTAAAGAGTTTCAGGCACTTCTGCAGTCTCATTCTGTAAAGCTAGCTCTTTCTCAACTTTCTAAAAAACTGCTAGCAGGCAGAACGGGATTAGTACAATTAGCTTAGACCTATAGGATCTATCCTGGAAGCTGGGCATATAGCCCCTAAATTTATGAGGCAAAGTTGATGCCTAAAAATGAAATTGAAGATCTTTTAGCTAAAAAAAGGAAAGAGTGCATGCTGGATTAGCAACCAGTATTCTTCTTCATGAAGGATTTCATAGCCAGCAGACTTTTATGAGTAAAGGAACAGTGTTACTGTTCAGGACCCTCTGTACTGAATATTAATATTATTGTTGATTGGTCTTTCAGATGTCTTTTGCCAGCTGAAATGCCAAATAATTTTTTAAAAAGACAAAAGTGTTGTTTTCTTGAAGTGTCAATCTTTTTTTTTTTAAGGGCTAGAGATCAAACCCAAACTCTCATACATGCTAGACATGGACTCTACTGTTACTGGGTTTTGGGTGCCAGAGTCTCCTTCTAGAGCTGGTTTCTAGGTTGTTTCCGTCCTGAGCAAAGAATTGGTGAAGATTAGCACAAACAGAAGCAAAGTATTATTAAAGATAGGAAAAGAAACAAGTTCTGCAGAGCAAGTTTGGGCCAGGTAAAAGTAGGAAAAGAATTATACCTTATGGTGTGAGGCCAGGCCACCATGCAAGCGAGAACACAGTGGCAAAAACTCAGTGTGAACTGTCTGTTTGTATCATCCACTTCTCAGGCTGAGGTCAGGTCTAGGCCATGCTACCCAAGGTTTTCACAAGAAGTCTACCTGCAGGGCTTTGGGAATCGCCCTGCACTTGTGTTTGGCACCTTGGTACCACTGTCAGCCAGTTCTAGCCACACCCTCCCTTCCTGTCCCATTACCACCCAGCTAAGCCTCAGCCCCAAGGTTCGGCTTTCTAACTTCTGTTGAAGTGTGAATTACATATATCAAACCTCAGGCACCAAGTGGAAAGCAGTGACAAGTAAGTAGATTATATACCAGACTGAAAGAGTAAAATCACGAACAAAGCCTGAGCACTTCTCTTCACTGGGAGCACTTGTGATGATTCCTGTGGAAGCAGGGTTCAAGCTTTGAAGCCCGCACTGTTGGAAAGCATTCAGAGGAATGAGGAACACAAAATATGCAAGGAAGTGCAGAATAAGGAAAGTTTTTGTGTTAGTTTTCTGTTAATACTACGACAAATGCTTACAAACTTAGTGGTTTAAAGAATACAAACTCAACCAAATGCAGTGGAGGACCCTCGTAATCCAGCTACGCTAGAGGCTTAGGCATGAGGACTGCTAGTTTAAGGCTAGCGTGGGAAACCCAGCAAGACTGTCTCAAAACAAAGGTAAACAGAGTTGAGGAGATAGTTAAGCAGTAGCGTATTTGTTTGTAGAGTATATTCAAGGTCCTAGGTTCAATCATCTGTACTGCCAAAAAATAACTAAAAACTTCATGTTTCACAGTCTTGGAAATCAGAAGTCTAATGTTGGTCTCACTGGGCTAAAATCAAGGTGCTCACAGGACTACACTTATCTCTAGAGACAAGACTTTAAAGGAGAATCTCTTTCCCTGCTTTTCTAGATGAGATTGTTCTGGAGACTTCTATCTTTGGAACATTGCCTCCTTCCTCCACCTGCAAAGCCAGCAACATGGAATTGAGGACTGAGACCTTTTCCTGTTAAGGGTGCATGTGACTGGACTGAACCCCAGACAATCCAGTAAAATCTTCCCACCTTAAATCCTTAACTTTAATGGTATCTGTGAAAATCACGTTTGCAGTGAAAACGTCTTCATAGGATGGTGTTGGCATGGTCATCTGTGGGGGCTACTACCTTCCCTCACATAGGAAAGAAAGCAGCTTGCTCAGGAACTGTCCTCAGTGAGGGAGAAATGCGGAAGGAGAGGTGACTGTGACACTTTTTGTTACTGGACAATAGAATTCGTTGGGCTCTTGATTCATCTTCCCTTCATCCCAGAGATCTTACCCAGTAGCCCAGAGCTACATCAGAAACCAGATGTGCCCTGTGGGCCATCACCACCCGCCAGTTTTGTGAAGAAGAAAAAATCAGAGTACCCTCCACCAACAATAGCCACCGTCAAATAGACTAGGTTACATATTTATGGAGGTGATAAATATCATGCAATTCTCAGTTGCTTAAGACAATAAAAGTATATTTCTTGCTCAGGCCACATGTTCGCTACACGCTAGCCGAGGAGCTCTGCTCAAAACTACTCACTCCGGGTCTCAGACTGACAGAAATACTACTATTTTTCAAACTTTCCAGGTGCCAGCGCAGTGTTCTACCAAAAGGTCTCACATCAGTCATCACATGCTCCAGCCTGGAAGAGAACCACACTAATTCTACCCCCAGCTACTGGTCTGAGCTCTTTGCATGACTCCCCTCCCACAGAGGTCCAGGAAGCGTAAGCCTATCACGTACTCACAGGCAGAGGGCTGGACCTGTGTGAACAGCACCAATGACCACGATAATGCCCTACTTTAATTCTTATGTGACTGATACTCATATTCTTCCAGTGTCTTGTGTACCAAACCTCACAGATCCTTGACTTCAACTAGTCAAGTGTTAAATCCTCCCCACTCTGGCTTCCAAGTGTCTCTGCCATTGATCCTTACTTACTATCAGGCAACAGAATGTGCCACAATATTTTTTACAATTTGTTCATTATGACCTACAGCAAGATATGGATTCTACATTGAGACTATGCACTGTGCACACACATATGAATGCAAATAAAATTAATCCTCTATATTGTTGTCTTTTATCACAAAGACAGTTTCTCCCCACTAAAGTGACTTTATGAACCACGGGCAGGTGTGGACTACAACAGGGACTCCTATGGTGAGGACTGGCTTGCAACCAGAGCTCCCCAGTGCCCAGGACTGCATAGCAGTATTATTACCCTTTTCTAGTTCATCCCTCTTCAACTTCCTTTCGGATTTCTTTTGTTCATTCTTTCACTTATTAATGGAAAGCTTACTAATGCTAGATATAGTGACAGACACCTATAATCCCAGCTACTTGAGAGACCGAGGTGTGAAGATCAAAAGTTCAAGGCTAGCCTGAGGAACTTAGTGAGACCTTGTTTCAAAAGAAAATGTTTAAAGGGGTATGGATGTAGATCTGTGATAGAACACTTGCCAAAACTTGTGAGGCCCTGGGTTTAATCCTGCATACTGAAAGGGAAAAAATTTTATTACTAGCTTATCACTTGAAGGAAGACATGCTAGGAACTAAGGTTTAAAAAAGACATAGACCATTCAAAAAAAAAAAAACCAACATAGCCTACTTAATGATAAGAAAGATGATCATTGATTAAATCCTGCTTTGATCATATGGCTTAAAATCCACATTCTTTTCAAGTCTTTTCTAACCTGATTTCCCATAACCTGATCTAATCTGCCCTCCTATTTTCCAAGTTAGATATTAAGTTTTTTCAAACTGAGGCAGGTGACCAAAGCTATTGACATTCCATTCCTGAGGCTCTGGTCACATTACTGTCCCTTCACTGGACATGTTTGATTCAACACTGAAGTCCTCACACAAGCTATTGACAGTGAACGAATGCCCAGGTAGCCTTTCCCTGCCTGTGCACTTTGAACCAGCCCTTTGTTGGCAGCTGCTCTGGTCCCTGCCGCTCATCACTCCCCGGGAACACAGGAGACAACCTTCGATGGAAAGAAGAGTTATCCAAAGCCAGCACTGAAGGAGACAAGAAGGGAGCTTCTACCAAGCTTCCTCTCACTTCCTTCAGCTGTGTATGGACTTCTATTGCAACTAAAAAATGAGACAATAGACAGGAAAGTGCCATTTTATTCACTGCTCCTGCCCTCCCTCCTTCTCTTGTGGAAATTGGAACTTTGACCTGGAGCCAGCCTCTGTGCCTTCCCCCTTCTTTCAGTAGGGTTGGTAAGAAATGTTTCTTTTCTGTCCATTCATCTCAGCTGAGGTAAGGAAGGATGGTAGTTGGATGGTAGTTCCACAGCTTGAGGAAGTTGGAGAAGCAGTTTAATCTCTAAAAGAAAAAAGAATCCTAATTATAAGTGAACCATTTTACCCAACTCTTTCATTCACCAACACCAAGCACTGTTCTACTTCACAAAACCTTCCACTAGCTACATCCTAGCCTGGTACTTTTACCCAGAAATTGTCTTCAAGTTTTCTTGCATATATTCCCTTAGCATTTTTTGAAAAATAATGTATGTGTATCCTAGAGGATTCAAAACAGACCTCTAAAAATATTAATTATGTCTAATTTCCAACATATTCATTGGTGCGTATGAGCTCTGGATATATTTTTTGACAGAAACCTTGGAGCTATATACTTAGATGGTTCGATTTATAGACAGTGTAACTTGGCAAATTCAGTTCTCATTGTAAACCAATCATCTAAATCAGAGTTACATGAAGTCAGAAAATGTGTTACTTCATTTTTCAACTCAGATAAGCATATTTATGTCCATCCCCTTGACAATGATCTCACTTTTAAATTCTCCTTGAAAGACGGATGGGTGAGTAGTGGGCCTTCAGAGCCTGGCTTCTCTCTCAGCTGACACAAGGGATGCTCCTGGGTGTCTCCTGCTGGCTGGGGCACTCTCCTCAGAAGCCAGGCTTCCAGAATTGTCCCCTGGTTTGGTGCCCAGGGCAATCTGTTGATAAGCTTTCCTGGGGGTGAAGGGTTCATCTTTCATTAGTAAAGAAAGGGATTTAAAATAGATGTGGCAACTATCAGCCAACCACAGGTGTGGCAGATCAGTTTTAGGAAAGGTCACTGTTGGAACTGAGAACCTAGAAATTAATTCCCATAAAATTAATTTAAGGGCTTCATAGAAAGTCATTTCTTCCCTTCAATGGGCATTCCATTTGTTTTTTTTTTTGTTTGTTTGTTTGTTTGTTTGTTTTTTATTTAAAGAAAAGGAAACGAAAAAAAAATACATGGAGATTAAAAAAAAAGGGTAGAAATAATACTAAATTACAGACAAACAAAAGGTAAGAAATTGCCGGTTGATAAGTTACAAATTGTCATCTTCGAAATGGCTGTTTAGGTTATAGAATTAAAGTATTTAGAATGACATTCAAAAAAGTGACCCTACAAACCATTCTGCTCTATGGTCGAACAAAAGCTCCGTAATATGATTATCAGTCCCACCTATTTGTTTTACATCTCTAAGAGGGTAAGGTTAACCATATCAAAACAGAACAGAACATTAAAAAAAAAATAAAAAACAATTTAAAGAAATACAGATTTCAAAGCAAGTCCACTGGAGATCTACCTTATCTAACTGTCTCTAGCTTCTTACAAATAGTTGTCCCTAACTTCACCCACTTTATGTACTTATTGCATATTATAGAACTAATCAAATCATTACAGGATGATGGAGTCTTTTTAGGTCCTCAAGTTCCAAATTAGGGAAGACAATAGCAACTACCATCGCATCTCTCATTCTCTTTGTGATAGCCGTCCCCATCTCTGCATATGCTGAAGTTGAGCTGAAGAAACCAGTCCAATGTCATTCTAATCAGCAAGCAATAGATTGCTAGAATTTATATTATAATGCTACAAAATAAGCCTCGGGTTTTTCAGGTCATTCCATTTGTTTTGAAGACTGCTCCTCTAAGGTCCACAGAGCACCCAAAGTCTAAATCAACATACATACTTGAATATTGTGGAATCTTAGAACTTGTCAGCTTACTCATATATGTCTAGGTGGGATTTTTTTTTTTTTCAGTTTTTTGGTTTTGGGGACAGCAGTTTTTGAGATAGTGTCTCACTTATATAGCCCAGACTGGCCTTGAACTCAAGGTGATCTTCCTGCCTCACTCTCCAAAATTCTGAGATTACACAGGAGCACCACCATATCCAGCTATGTCTGGGTTGTAAGAATCTCCACCCCAACCATACAGTCAATTCTTCTGTTTTGTGTTGCCCATTCATTGTAGTTTATTCTGATTTTCTATCTTTAATGGAGTTGCAAACTTGAATGGAGAGACTATGAACACTTACTTTAGCTTCTCCTCTCTATCCCTCTGAAAAGAACATTCCTGGCCTAGGTATCTTCTTCTTGGTAGAAACAAGTCTGGAAAACCACATAGACTGGTGAACATGGAAACTGGATTGGAGTTGAGTTGTTTTAAAACATTTGAGGCAGCTATGGAAAAGCATGGGAAACCTCTGCCTCAACATGTACCATATCAAGAAATAAAAGGTAGATAGAAATGAGGCAAGAAAATCATGACTTCAAAATTGTACCTTTCTGAAGACTACAACCTCCAGGAACCAGCTGAAGTTACCCAAGACAATACATATCAGCGATCCTTTGGTTAAATTTATACTCCTTTCTTACAAGAACTATCATACCCAAAATTCCTTTAGAATACTAAAAGTCCATAAATTTGCTTAATTAAAGAAGTGAGGAATAAAAGTCTAATGTCAAGACAAAGGAGCTAGGGGCTGGGGATTTAGCTCAGCAGCATAAGCACCTGCCTTGCAAGCAAGCGGTCGTGAGTTCGATCCCCGGTATGGATAAAAATGAAAAAGACAAAAAAAAAAGAAGAAGAAAAAGAAAAAAAGAAAAGAAAAGAAAAAGAAAAAAAGACAAAGGAGCTGGTTGAACAAACCCAAAGTGTTTAAATTACCTTTAAAAAAACAAACTGCCTGTTGTAGTTACTTTTCTCATTGCTAAGAAAAAATATCCAACATTCAAAGTTAAGGGAGGAAAGGTTCATTTGGTTCAAGGTTTGTAGAGGTTTCAGTTCAGAGTCAGCTGGCTCCAAGGCAGGGCAGCATGGGCAATACAGAGGAGAAAGAGTTCATGGCAAGCGGAAGGTAGCAAAGCAAGCAAGAAAAAAGACAAGCCTCTTTCTGTCCCTTCTACTGTTCCAAAGCTATTGGGATTAGGGCAGTGCCAAACCATCAGTGGACTGATTTAGTGATCACCCACCCTTAATCCCAGTACCCACAATCCTAGCACTGTGCCAGGAATCAATCACACACTCTAGATTCAAACACCTCTGAAAAAACTCTCTTATAAAAAAAATCCCACTTATAACTGCATGAGGTTTTTGAGGGGGACATCTAGACACAGCCATAACACTGCTCACACCTGTAGAAAGAGTGAGCTCATCCTCATCTAGGGGTGGGTCATGTTTTCCCACCTCTTCAAAGGGATATAAATGTCACCAGCCCCATACTGTAATGTATCTCATTTTTCTGACCATGCGCACTCTATTCTTGCGTGCATACTAAACCTCTACTTCAGTTTCTTTCTACCATGTCCTAAAAATTCTTTTTCCATGACAGGTGTGAGTAAACTTGTTACAAAAGGTTAGTCTAGGTCCCTTACTTCAGCCTTAGCCACCTGCAAATCTAGCCAGTGACATTTTCTCTTGGAAAGTCGGGTAGGAGGTAAAAAGAGGCATCAAAAGGGCACCTATGCTAAGTCCAGGTAAGTTTTTGCCAGGTACAGTGGCACATGCCTGTAATCCCAGAACTCATGAGGCTGAGGCAGGAGGATTGCCAAGAGTTTGAGGCCAGCCTGTGCTACTTTGTGAGTTCAAAACCAGCCTGGACAACACAGTAAGACTCTGTCTCAAAAAGCTAAAAATTAAAAAAATATTTAAGATGGTTTTTATTTTTTCTTCTTCCCTACTTCCCCCTACCCACACTGCTTGGCCCTCTGAAGCAGTTTTCTTCCAAACTCTTGCCCCTGAAGCATAGTTGATTTTTTTTTCTCTTCTTGTCTACACACTTCTACTGCCTTAGGATTTTTTCCTTTCCAGCACTTAGAGACACCTAAGGTTCTAGAAAATAAATGTTTATACACAAAAACAAAAAAGACAAGAGATACTTGCTCTCTCTAACTGTAAATGGGAAGAGATGTCAAGATGCAGCTTCACTGGGTACTGAAAAATCTCAATTATTCAGAAAAATCTCAAATATTCAGCCCTATGCAGCATCATGCAACCATCATAGGAAACTCCAGCCCGTACACACGGTGAAGAGAACTGGTCTCCAGTCACACTGGAGGAAGCCATCCCCCAAAGCATACACCTTTGAGTCCTGAACACTTTACCCTGACAGAAGTTCTCTAAACTGCTCTTTAGATCTCTGTCCTCTACCTCAAAAGCAAAGGACAGAAGCCCAGTCCATCTGATTCCATGGCTACCCTTTTGTGGTGGCTGGGAACATGTCCTAATATATGGAGAGAGGAATAATAATAATAATAACAATAATAATATTAAGTTAAAAGTTAGCTAGATATAAAAAGAAGGCTCTAAATCGTATACTAGCCCGTTACTAGTCTCCAGTTATACCTATAACTTACAGCCATAACAAGTGTTTATCACCTGTCCAAAACTGAAATCAGACAGTTGATTTTTTCCTTGAACTTTATCCCATTCTCCAATGGGGAACTAATGTTTTCCTTCACTGAGCCCAGCGATATGCCAAAAATATTAACAAAGATGCATGCTGGGTTTGTGAATAATTGTCCAACTCCAATACATCTAGACTACTATGGTGAGTAGGCCTCTACAGGGAGATGATTGAATAAAACTTTAAAATTTTATAGAATAGTTACAAAGTGCAGCGACAATTTTAAAATTTTTCTACCACCTCTAATGTTTGCCAATGGTTAATAAATGGGACTGTTTATCAAAAAAGTATGGAAAATTTTTTTCTTTAGCTACAATTAATACTCAGGTATGAAAATATAGAGCTCCTGATCTACCCCACATTACTGTGATGAAAGACGACCATTAATTCATGGTAAATATTTTCAAGTCTGGAGTGTACATATCTGGCTGTCATCTACCATAGGGAAACTTGACCAACTAGCATCCATTTTTGGGGAACAAAAAAACCTCATACTTAATAAGTAGAGCAATGTCACCCAAAGTATGAGATAGATTTCTATCCAGAGAATCATACTTTTGCATTAAGAGACACTGACGTGTTTGCTACTGACTGGAGCCAAGAGCTAAAACAAGATGACCAGCTGCAAATGGCACCCAGTG